TCGATTAACTATGGTTTTGAAAAACTGATACCGATCAAAATAAAATGAGCTGACTTCGTTAGCCTATCAACAATCACCCAAATCGTATCATGCCCCTTGGAGTACTTGTCAGCCCTGTCACAAAGTCCATGGATATACTATCCCACTTCCACTCTGAAACATCTAACAATTTCAACAATCCCGCAGGTCTCTAATGTTCGACTTCTGACAAGTCCAACATCCATACACAAATTGTGCCACATCTCATTTTAATCTGGACCACCAAAACAACTTCATCAAGTCTTGATACATCTTAGTCGCACTTGGATGAATACTCAAATTAATTCTATGGCTCTCTTCTGGGATCATATTTTTCATTTTGGATTCATCAAGAATACAAATTCTATCCTAAAATCTCCACACACCTTGTGCATCTACTTTAAAGTCACTATCTTCAGACTGATTAGCTCCAACCATCATATCTACCATTTGAAATCCAATTTCTGAGCCTCTTTAATATTATTCATGAAGTCATTGTTGATCTTTAACATTCCCAACATAACACTCTATGGTGCTACTTCACAGACTAAACTCAAGTCTCTGAACTGCTTGATTAACTTTAGTTCTCTAACCATCATAGCAGACACATGTAATAACTTCCGACTTAAAGCATCTTCCACAACATGAGCTTTACCTTGATGGTAATTTAAGCCAAAATCGTAGTCCTTCAACAATTCTAACAATCTTCGTTGTCTCATATTCAATTCCTTTTGATCGAACATGTATTTCAAGCTCTTGTGATCACTAAATACTTCGAATATGGAGTGGTAAAGATCATGCTTCCAAATCTTTAGTACAAATAACACTGCAGCTAATTCTAGATCGGAGCAGGATAATTATTTTCATGAATCCTCAATTTCCTATACACATAAGCTACTACTTTACCATTATGCATAAGCAGACCACCTAAACCCAATTAAGAAGCATCACAATATACAATAAATGATTCTTCAATATTAGGTAATATCAAAATAGAAGTCGTCGTCAATTTCTTATTTAGCTCAGTGAAACTTTCCTCACACTGGATATCCCACACAAAAGCATGGCCTTTACAAGTCAGCTGAGTCAACAGAAGTGCTAACTTAGAAAAGCCTTCAATGAATTTTATATAATAACCAGCCAAGCATAAAAAGCTTCTAATTTCTGTAACTGACTTTGGAGTCTCGCACTGCAATATTGCATCTACCTTGGATGAATCTACATCAATACCACCGCCTGAAATAACATGACAAAGAAAAATAACTTTCTCTAACCAGAATTCACACTTTGACAACTTCGCATGTAGCTTCTTCTCTTTCAACACTTGCAATACAATCCGCAAATGCTCAGCTTGCTCTTCCTCTGATTTGCAATATATCAAAATATCATCAATGAATACGACTACAAACCGATACAAGTAAGTGTGAAAGATACGATTCATATACTCCATAAACACTCCCAACGCATTGGTAACACCAAATGGCACAACTAAATACTCATAATGTCCATATCGAGTTCTAAAAGTTGTCTTCTAAGTATCGTCATCATTGGCTCAAATCTGGTGATAGCCTGATCTCAAGTCAATCTTGCTAAATACTCGTGCACCCACTAGTTGATCCATCAAGTCATTTATTCTCGGAAGTGGATACTTTTTTTTAATTGTTGCTTTATTCAATTATTGATAATCAACAGAGTCTCATACTATTCTCCTTCTTTTTCACTAGCAACACTAGAGCTCCCCAAGGTGATACACTTGGCCTCACAAATTTCTTTTCAAGCAAGACTTCTAATTTCTTCTTCAACTTTGCTAATTCAGATGCCGACATCCTGTAGGGTGCCATGGAAACGAGTTTGGTACCAGGAACATGGTCAATGGAAAACTCCACTTCTCTTTCTGGCGGCACATCTAGAATATCATATGGGAAAACTTTAGGAAAATCATCCATTGTCTGCAACTCATCAATTTCATCCTAATTCTCAATATATAAGAACACCATCAAAAGAAAACACTTGAGCTTCATCTTGTATCAATTCATTCAACTGTCTAGCTGATAAGAATCCAATTTTCTCTTCCTCGTCAGGAGTAGAAAACCACACAGATTTGTTGTAGAAGTTAATATGAACATAATTGTATTCAAACCAGTTCATGCCTAGAATCATGTCAAGACCACTAAATGGTAAACAAACTAAATCTACAGAGAAGTCTCTATCAATGACTGACAAAGGATACTTCAAACATACAAGAGAAGTAGTCACCGATCCCTTAGCTGGAGTATTGAAAACCATCTCTCTGTTCATATAAGATAACACAAGACCCAACTTTTTCACACAATCAACATCAATAAAATAATGGGTAACACAAATATCAATAATAGTAATTAAAGGAGTACTATTAATGAAACATATACCTTTGATCAAACAGTTTCCACTAGATGTCTGAGTTCCAGCTAAAGCAAACGCTTTCCCACCAGATTGAGGTTTATTCGGTTTCTGACACTCAATACTGATATGCCGTTCCTCACCACAGTTGAAACATATCACCGCTTTATGTCCACAATCATCTATTTCATGGCCAACCTTACCACCAAAAAAACACCTCTTCACCTCCCTAGTACATATATTACTTTAATGATCTGGCTTCCCACATCTGTAACACACGACGTCAACATGAGCACCTCCCCCATTGGTCCTTTTACCATCATCAACTCTTTATTTTCCTTTGTCAGTGTGAGCATTGTAAGGACTCCCATGGTTCTGTTGTTGCTTATCTCTCCTATCATTTATGATCTTGTAGTGAGCCTTATTATCCTCCTCATAAATTCTACAGTTATTTACCAATTCTGGAAATTTTTGAATCTGTTGATATCCAATTGCCCGTTTGATTTACAGACGCAAACCATTCTCAAACTTGATACACTTTGAAAATTCGGAAGTCACCTCACTATAATGAGGATAATACTTTGCCAGCTCTACGAACTGGGCAGCATACTTGGTTACTGTCAAATATCCCTGTTTTATTTCCAGAATTTCAATTTCTTCCTTCCCACGGAGATCTTCCAGAAAGTACTTCCTCATAAATTCCATGTTGAATATAGCCCACGTAATCTCTTAACCTTCACCATCCAGCCTCTAACGAGTTCCAATCCACCAACCATCAGCTTCTCCAGCCAACATATGTGTATCGAATCGCACCCTCTGTGCCTCAGAATCATCCATAACTCGAAATATCCTCTTGATCTCCTTGGGCCAAGTCCGTGAGTAATAGATGTAGCGGTGACAATCAGATATCAAGCTATTGATTAGCTTTACATGCAAAAGAAAGAGTCGCAACTGCACTTTATTATTTCCAAGGGAAAAGGGAAAAGTGAAAAATAAAACCCATAAATATGCAAAGTATGAATAATACTAAAAGTAAAGAAAAATATAATGTATTTGAAAGAGATCGAAGGTTCAAGGGTTGGTTATACAAAGGGAAGATACTAGCACCTATATATCTATAGTATCCTATAGGAACCTTTTGAAATATCTGTTTCTTTTTGGTTAAAATTGGTTTGCTTACTAAATGAGTGTGGGAATGAGATTTTGAAGATGCAACGATCTAGTGTCGAAGTTTTAGCTTAAAAGAGTGTAAATTTGAAAAAAATGGAGTTTTTAGGAGATTTGCCTTTAGATTAGCAAAACTAAAAAAATGTCTGAAGGGGTTTCGCACAATCGTATTAGATATATTCGATGACATGAAGTCGACAAGCATAATTATTTCCCTTGGATTTAATCATGAGCAAGTAGGTCTAATAATCGAGCAAAGATCAAAGCATAAATAATTAAAAATCCAAAAGAAACAAACAAGGAAAATAATGGCAAGATAAACTATAAGAAACCAAATAAAAGGACAAAGAAGAATCATGAACAAATGAAAAATGTAATTAAAGAGTTATCTAAACTAATTTGAAATCCTAAATTTACTAAGTAAACTAAATTTAAATTCTAATGTTTCTAACTAAACTAAATAAAATTTTAAAGTTACTAACTAAAACTAAATTAAAATTCTAAAATTACACACTTAAAATTCTAAAGTTATTAGATTAAATCAAAAATAAATTAACATTCTAAAGTTACTAAATTAGATCTAAACTAGATTAATTATACAATTATTAATTTAAATATAAACTAAACTAATTTTAATCTAAATTAAATTAATTATAGAAAGAGGTGTGAAACTTAAAATTGGGTGAAAGTAGAAATTTGGAATGGACTTAAGCAAGAATAAAATAGATTGGCCCCAATTACAAACAAGATCAACTACAAACTATGGGCTTGAGATGAGTAGAAAATGGAGGTGTATGTATAATTTGTTGGGTTGAGTTATTAAGAGAAACAACATATTGGGCTTAAGTGGAGATACAATATAGAATAATGGTAAAAATGTTCCAATGGGTCTCTAACCCAAGACCTCACAAATACCAGACTTACGCTCCAACCACTACACCAAGTTGTTCATTCATTATATCCATGCTTCAAGTAACATAAGAGGGAAAAACAAAGTTGGGCTAAGAAAATAGCCCAAAATCGACTAGCTTAGGGAATAGAAAGGGAGGGTTTTGAAAATCCTAATTAAGCTGAAGCGCCACTGTACATTGGGGAAAGGAAAAGTTGTCATTTATTTTTCTTCTAATTCTTAATTAAATGTTAACAAAACACGGTTAACAAGGAACAAAAGGGTCATCTCATCTAATCACTCTCAACCTTATTTCCCACATTCAGTCCTCTTTCTTTCATTTCTTGATCAAATAGAAAAAAAATTCTAGATCTAACTCTCTCTCTCTCTCTCTCTCTCCATGATTTCATGTCTTCTGAGAATAACAATAAATTTTCCAACCCTCTCCAAATCGATTTTCCTTACTCTCATTATAAAATAATCGAACCCTCTCACTTGGTCTGCGCTCGATTCTCCATCATCATCACTGATTCATCGCTCAGCTTCGATGACATACAGCGTTAAGGCTTCAGCTCATCTCCCTTGCGATTTAGCTTTTGGAATTAACCCCACTCGCCTCAGAGATCCGCTCTATTATCAAGGTATGCGAACTCTTGTCTCAACCTTCTTCTAATTTATGCGTTTTATGAGTTTGGAGATATGGCTGTTTTTTCAGAGGTTTGATGCTTTGTTATTGAGTTTGTTTATGGTGTTGGGCAAAGTGAAGATTGTCGTTGTTTATGTGAGATTCTGATGAAGAAATGTTATGAAGATGATGATGAAGATGGAGCCGAGAGTAGAGAGAAAGGAGAGACAAAGAGAGATTTAGGCGAGTTTTTCTGTGAATTTTGTTATGAATCTCTCTTTGAGTTTTTGTTAAGTTTTCTCTGTGTTAAATATAATAATGAATCATGGAATTTTTTCACTGTTTTTTTGTGTATTTCTATGTCTTTTATTATAATCTCTCTGGTTTATTTATAACAAAATAAACAATTTGATTCCGGCTAACACTTTTCTACTTTTATCGCAGTGAATAAATATGTAACAACAAGTTTTGATTATGGAATAACAAAACAGTAAGCCAAGAAAATAATTTATGACAGTGAACCACTTATGCAAAAGAGTGAAAGAACTTTTAACCTATCGGAGACTCTCCGACGGAGCTTCAAGAGACAATAAGCTCAAATCCCTTCTTCTTCTTATGTTGTTGTGCTGCTGGTATTAGTTGGTGATGACCGTTTGTGAGTTTGTTTTTGTTTTTTTATATAAGAGTTATGATGTTTGATTATTTGGAATAGCAAGAGGATTTTTAACAGAGCCTTTTTGTATTCTATTGTGTGTCCTTCCTCTTTTTCTATATTTATCTATACTTCTGTTGTGATGGGTTGAAGAAATATTAATTTTTTTTATTGAGTTTTCTCTAAGAAAATATGTGTTGACAGTGGAATTTTTCTGTTTAATTTCCTATGAGATTTTCCTGTTCTTTAGAGGAACAAAAAGTTGTTTATATAGAGAGATTGAGGTAAGTATTTGGGGGGGAAATTCCAGTGAGTTTGAACTATTATGGTAATCGTTTTCCTGGATTTTTGATGCAGATTTATTATGGCCATTTTTGTGCAAATTTTGGATGTATTATGGTGCAGAGCAACAAGATGAAGGGAAACAAGGTGCAGATAATTTTTGGAAATCTATTTGTTTTGTTGTTGCAGATTATGCAGTTGGCCTAGAAGGGGCAGCAACCCTGGTTTTTGAAGTGTAGTGGTTATCTTATGGCTACAAGAATTATGGACAAGGAAAGGTTAGCATAACAAGTATTGGATTGACCTTTTTGCAACATTTTGGACTGGTTGGACAACGTTTTGGAGGCTTGTGGACTGGTTTTGCAAATATTCCAGTTAGGACTCTTTTAAGGTTTAAGATACAATCTTTTGTAATTCAGATTAAGTTCTAATGTAAACTTGAAACCTTAAAGAGATGTAACACTTTTGAGCATTCTTGAATTTATTTGAGGAACTTGTATTTTGAAGTTGAATCAAATTTGAATGAAATAAGACCTTGACATTTGAATTTTTAGACATTGTTGTAAAAGTTGAATTATGATGAATGTCTTATGTTTCAAGTGACATGAACCGTCCCATTTTACTAAGTTGAATTGTGCATTTTATTTTTGGTACTTGAATTCAAAATAATCCACATAAATGGAATTGAGTGAATTAAACTTGAATGCTTTGTTGCTCAAATCCCAAGAAATCCAAATGTATTTTCCTTTCTAACATTTCAAGTTTGATGAATGAGTTTAAATCCAATCATAAGAACCAATGTTTTAAGGAAACAAACATGACACAAATTAAACTAGAGGTTAAAAATTATCCTAAGTCACAAAATGGTCCAAAATGTCTCAATAAATTGTGTGGCCTCCTAAACATAATTGGACTTTGATTCTTAAAGAAAACTTTTAGATGGCATTGCTCATGACATTGTGCAAAAATAATCGTCTCAAGATGTTGAAAATTGAGGAAGTTATGAACCTTGAAAGTCGGGCAACCATTTTTTTAATATTAGGTCAAAGTCCACAAAATGACCTCTAAAGTATTCAAACTTTTGATGATCCTCCGGACATAATCAGATCTTGACTGGTAAAGAGGAGCTGGAGATGACGTCAAGGAGAGTTATACGCAAAAAGAACCACTCAAAATATTAAATAATGAAGAAGTTACAATCGTTTGAACTTGATCTTGAAAATGTTGACTTTTGGTCAAAGTTCTTTGAATCGACTTGCAAATTTGATATTTCCTCACATTCTCGGACATATTGATGCACATATGGACCAATGATGACGAAATCTTGACTATACTTTTGATTAAGGGCTAAACTTTAATGAAATAGTCTTTGAGAATTGGTGATTCACCATACTCGAGCACTCGAGGGATCCAAAATCCTAATTGAGGCGCAGCACCTGACGCTCTTGATTCAGACCTCTCTCAACACATGAAACCAAAGAAACACAAACATACACCTTTGTATGGGATTAGAGATGTTAGTGATGCATAAGATAAGATGTTCACAACACTTGATAATCTCTGCATAAGCAATGCTCGAGGGTGAGAGGGTTAAAAAACAAATTGTATCTCATGACCTTGATGATATGTGAGAATGGAAATTAATGTGGGATCTTAGGTAAAAATTTAGGGTATAATAGCTGCCCCCTACTTAAGTTTCTTCTATTCGGAGATATGAAGATTGAAATCTTTGTTTCAACAAGATTGAAGATACTTAAATATAGAATACACAATTTTTGGTCCTAAGATACCACAATGATGTTTATGATATGATATGAATGCAATGTCCTAAATTTTATGGGGAATGATGCCACATGAGATAAAATACTGTTGGAGAAACCAAACACATGATAAAGTAATCCCGCATGGGAAGAGATTATAACTCCACTGGGAAAAAAAGCCACAAACTTCAAATGAGAGACTCTTATTGGGGAACAACTTTGAGAGAAGAAAAAACATTACTGACTCTATCAGAGAAGACGCCTTGCATAGGCTGTGAAAAGATAAATGGCTACTGACTCAAGGTGATGGTAAATTTCCAACTCAGTGTCAAAGGTAGAAAATAAAAAAGATACTGACTCACAAATGACGGTAAACTACCAACTCAATGGTTGAAGGTAGAAAAAACATAGAACAATACCAAATTTTATTTGATGGTAAAGAAACAGAAGACATATCGACGTTTACTGAAGGTGAACTACCAACTTTTACTGAAGGTAGAGAAACAAAAGAACGCACTGACTTTTACTGAAGGTGAGCTACCGACTTTTATTAAAGGTAGAAAAAGATAAGATTGCACCGACTTTTACTAAAGGTGAGACTACCAACTTCCACTAAAGATAGAGAAAAAGATGCACCGACTTTTACTGAAGGTGAGCTACCGACTTTTACTGAAGGTAGAAAAATAATAAACCTTTCCGTGATGAACAGGTTCCAGTTTCTTATTTATCAAGTCTTCTACCCGATAAGAATAATATACAAACTTCTCTGCAGGACTTTTCCAGAGAGATACCATTTTTTGTTGATGAGCAAACTTCTCAAAAAAGATATCATTTGCTGTTGATGAGCAAAATTCCCAAAAAAGATACCATTTACTATTGATGAGCAAACATCCAAAAAGAGATGCCATTTGCTGTTGATGAGAAAACTTCTAAAAAGAGATACCATTTGTTGTTGATAAGCTAATTTCTGAAAAGTGATACCATTTGTCGTTGATGAGCAAACTTCTTAAAAGAGATACCATTTGTTATTGATGAGCAAACTTCTCAAAAGAGACACCATTTGTTGTTGATGAGCAAACTTCCCAAAAGAGATACCATTTACTGTTGATGATCAAACTTCTCAAAAGAGATACCAATTTCTATTGATGTGCAAACTTCTCAAAAGAGATACCATTTGCTGTTGATGAGAAAACTTCTCAAAAGAGATACCATTTGGTGTTGATGAGAAAACTTCTCAAAAGAGATACCATTTACTGTTGATGAGAAAACTTCTCAAAAGAGATACCATTTTCTATTGATGAGCAAACTTCTCAAAAGAGATACCATTTATTGTTGATGAGCAAAATCTTTAAAAGAGATATCATTTGCTATTGATGAAAAAGCTTCTCAAAAGAGATACCATTTACTGTTGATGAGCAAACTTCTTAAAAGAGATACCATTTGTTGTTGATGAGTAAACTTCTCAAAAGAGATACTATTTGCTGTTGATGAGCAAACTTCTCAAAAGAGATACCATTTGCTATTGATGAGCAAACTTATCAAAAGAGACACCATTTGCTGTTGATGAGCAAACTTCTCAAAAGAGATACCATTTGCTGTTGATGAGCAAACTTCTCAAAAGAGATACCATTTGCTGTTGATGAGAAAACTTATCAAAATAGACACCATTTGCTGTTGATGAGCAAACTTCTCAAAAGAGATACCATTTGTTGTTGATGAGAAAACTTCTCAAAAGAGATACCATTTTCTGTTGATGAACAAACTTCTCAAAAGAGATACCATTTGTTGTTGATGAGAAAACTTCTCAAAAGAGATACCATTTGTTATTGATGAGCAAACTTCTCAAAAGAGATATCATTTGTTGTTGATGAGCAAACTTCTCAAAAGAGATACCATTTGTTGAATAAACATCCCCAAGAACTTGGTCACAAGCCACTGACTGGTCTCATTTTCTTCTTACTCAAGTCTTCCACTTGAAAAGGATAATATACAAACTTCTCCACGAGAATTTTTTGCAGAGATGTCGTTTACTGAGTAAACCTCCCCAAGAACCTGGTCATAAGTCACAAACTGGTCTCAGTTTCTTATTAATCAAGTCATCAACCTGATAAGTACAATATACAAACTTCTCCATGAGACTTTTTCGAAGGGATGCCATTTGCTGAGTAAACCTCCCCAAGAACCTGGTCATAAGCCACGAACTGGTCTCAGTTTCTTCTTAATCAAGTCTTTAACTTGATAAGGATAATATACAAACTTCTCCATGGTCCTTTTCCAAAGAGATGCCGTTTGTCGAAAGGTAAAAGTATGCTGGAAATACACAAGCTTCTCAAATAAAGAAGTCGTTACTTGCTGCCAAGCAAATGATTTCAATATAGTGTTATTAAGTCACTGTTGGGAATCAGAATCAATAACTTCATCGGGGATAGAAAAACTGCTCAAAGAGAGACCTCCATTTCCCATAAAAGAGAAAATCCAGAAATAATCAAGTTGCTCAAATAAAGAGTCTGCCACTTGTTGTCATGCTGATATTCCAAAAGAGTGTTGCAACAACACTACTGGGGTACAAAGTTCATCTTCAATGGGGAACCATGAATATAACTTTCCTGAGGAGAAAAAAGTATTTACAGGTGCAACAACACTACTTTTTTATGTTTGAAACTTGTTTCTAACATAGTCCACGACCTCCAAGCCCATCCATGCCTTATTTTCTCATTTATTTTATTTATTAAGATTTTTAATCATTTAAAATTCAATTTAAATAAAATAAATGATAAAAAATATATGAAGATTGCATAGGCTTGATTTCCAAGTCTCTTAAGGCCTAAAATAACTCAGAATAGCTTGAAAAAACGTGTGGGGATCGTTTGTGCATTATTTGGCCAAATTTGAAAAGATTTCATATGATTCCCAAAACAAATATTGTGTGATGAAAGCATTGGATTTTTCCATAATTGCAACCCTAAATTGATTTACTATATATACACAAGAACCTTAGGTCAAAAGAGATGTGAAAGCTGCCTCCACAAGTCCAGAAAAATCTCCAAATTTTCAAGAAAATGTGTGAATCGGATTTTGAGCTAGAGAAGGAGTCAAGACATTTTGAAGCTTGTAATCAACTCTTGGAGGCCTTCTGAAGCAAGCTGTATCATTCCCAAGTGCCAAAGCTCCAGGAATCGCACCCCATACAGTCACGGTTTATCTCTTTTTTTTTGAAAATGATTATGATCATATGCGCATTATAAACTAATTTGGGTTATGCATTCTTGTTTTTATGGATGATTAGAACATGTTTGAATTATTAATTGCTTGTTTTGATGCACATATGACAATATGACATTGTTAGGGTTTTTACCTTGGATTTAGGGTTTTCAGATACATGTACAATTAGGCCAAAATAAGAGTACCATCATGCTCAGAGGATCAAACCTAGTTGATCCATGACCTTAAATGGAATTTATATCGCTTGTGGTAGATTT